ATAAAGTGGATTTAAATAATTAAAAAATCAATGAAATAATCAAAGAGCTTTTTTATGCTAAGGTGTAAGGAAACCAAAACCCTGGATACTGAAGAATACTCTTTTGTATCCCTCTCAAAACTCCTAGATAGAGAAAAATGCCAAGAAGGTCTTGAAAAATAATTCATTAATCAGGATTTCAGAAGAGTACATGGGCTAAAGGAATAAAACAAGCATGAAAAATCTGGTAGGAAATATTGTTTGTTCAGAATTCAAGTAGGAAACAATTACACAAAGTATGAAAATGGAAATCCAAAATATATGTGAAAAGAAGTAACAAAGTGTGAGATACCTGGGAGAACAAGGTTATGTAGGCACTAATTCACCAGTCCGTTGGTGAATCCCAAATAATTTATTTAATCTCAGACATGAAATATTTTGCAGCCCAAAACATTGATTCACATAAAGTCCATCAGAGAGGATGGTGACTTTGTTCAGGAAATGTTAGTATTGGATTTCTATCCGAAGGATTAGTAGCTGAAGTCAACGAGTAATATATGCCAGCTGCAATAGTTAACATGTAGACTCTGGTATTCAGTCTGGAGTACGTACTGATTACGACAGCCCTGAGAATTGCTATGGCTGGTGGAGACAAACCATGGGATCAGTCATTGATAGACCCCATGTCATTTATATATGAGAATATGGTCATGAACTTGAGCTGAAGAATTAGATATACAGAGGCAGATTTGTTCCCAGTAAAATGTTTTAGTGCTATGCAAATTTTAGGATTCCTGCCATGATGGTGTAACAATGCAATACACTTTTGGTAAACTGTATCAGGCTTTTCACACAGGTTAATGACAAAGAAAAAAAAAAGTAGTTTAAAAAGACTTTGAATTGCTCTTCATTTCCTTGTTTTTAACTGTTTTTTGTGTGTGTTAATAATATCTAGAATCCTAGAACACATAAGCAGTCTTGTATACATCATTGGCATTATTTTTCCAAGTTTGTGAGCAAAATGCATGGTCTTTTAAATTTCTGAAGATGTGAAGAGGCACATGATAGTAGTATTCATTTGTTCTTATTTGTCATGGTTTAGGTACATTGCAACTATAACTTGAGTTATAATGTAGCGAGTAAGAAAGTGAAGTATGCCAGTCTTTTACATTTTGTTTGTCTCTGCAGTCTTCAGTTTTAGATTAGCACGATCTGAACAAATTATCTGAATGTACAACTACAGTTAATTCTTCCGTCTTTGACTCTCTACTCTATGATCACTCTTTGGGGTACTCATGAGTAGACAACTGTGCTATGTAGATTCTTCTTAGTTTTGACAGTATACAGCTAAGGTTGCCTCTCACAAGTATTACAAGATTTAGCTGCTTTCTTTGGTCATCTGTTACACATTTCCTGCTGACATGAATTCCTCTTTGTCTCTAACAGCTACCAGTGACTCTTGAATGAGGTTTTGGACCCAAATGCTACACAAAAATATCCTGCTCAGTTTGCCTGACTTCTGTTCACGCACACGCATTTATACAGGAAGGACTATGCGCATTGTATGTACATGAAGGGCTTCAATTTGCTAATGTGTTTTGGAACGTTTCCCAAATCGGGAAATCAGTGTTCACCATGATCCTTAAATAAAGTAAGGAATTATTTTGATAATTTCGCTGCTGCCTAGTACAAGTGCTTGTCATTGGTGTTACTCTTATATAGAATATGTTAAGCTGTTCTCTGAACGTGCCTAAATAAGAACAAAAAAAAGGTTGTGAGACTTGTAATTTCCCTTTATAAACATACATGATCCTTAGGAAGGAAACCAAAGCACTGGACCCACATATTTTAAACTTAATCTAACTTAGGCAGATAATTAAAGAAATAATAAGGTGCAATCTTAAGCATTACATCTCTGGAGCTATGTTTTTTAGAAAGACCAGTGTAATTCAGTAGTATGCAGACACAGTTACCATTATCGATAAGGTGAAATTGTTAGAATGCCATGTTGTAGACAGTGAATGGTGCTTTTTCAAATTTATTATTTCAAACAAAGCTCTTCTGCTGGCTGTGTCTGCCCATACACAAAATACTGCTACCGTCAAAACCATGTCACTGGATTACATTCAATTTCTGCTTTACTTTTCAGTGCATCTGCATGGCATAATTGGACAGCACAGTTTTTCTGTGTCTCACATTCCTCTTCATGATGGCAATGGTTTGTCACCAGCTGCTGCACAGCTACAATTGCCTTCCTCTCAGCACTGTTTACTTTTGATTCTTCCTGAAAGTGCTACATTTTGTTTTATGTTGTGTCACCGTTGTTATACTTACATAATGTACTTAAGTATTGTTTAGATTGACACAGTGTTAGCACTAAAATTGAAAATAAAATGTCATTATTGGTAAGCACAGCTGTTTTCATGCACATCATTTTCTGAGCTTCAGTTTATTAATCAGGCTAAGCGGGAGTTTTGTACAAATGGTAGTATTTTTTCTTGAAGTACTCTATGGACTTCAGATTTCCATCATAACAGAATTGAATAGTATAATGCAGTAGAAATGTGATTAAAAACTGTTTATTCTGGGCTTGTAATTGATTTAATTGTAACATCTAGAGGGCTGCAATTTTGAAAAGTTTCAGCCCTGATTGCCTATTATTCACATGACAACACTGAAATAAAATGACACTATAGTAAATGAAAACATAACAAATAACCCTGGTGGTTCAATAACATTTTGAAAGAAAATCAGTAGATGTGCTGCAGAAATCACCTACAGGAACAGCAGAAAGAAAAGCCCATATTTTAAATCAGCTTTTGTAAAAACCTGCTAAAAATTGACTATTGCAAAAACTTAATGTTGCTCATCCAGTAAAACTGTTTTGTTTGTCTTCTGTAGTATTAAATGATGCCTGTTTGTGAAGTGCAATCAAATATCAGGGGAAAGGACTTATAACCTATGTTGAAACAAAAACGTTGCATGCCTCTAGGCCTCCCACCCCAACTCATTTACTCCCCTCCACGTAAAAGCCAAATGTAAAATGCATCAAATTTACCGGAAATCCAGGAGTACTTAGGTTCTGAACCTGCAAAAAGTTAATCAGGTCCTTAATCCCAGGGGAAACGTAAGTGATTTTAATTGGCGTTGCACAGTGTCAGGGAGCTCTTCTTATGAACTGAATTTATAGAACTGGGGCTTTTAATTTATGTAAGCCTTGGATACACTACATTTCAACGCTGCCTCATTAATTGTATCATGCATAATACGTCCCTGTTAATTCCTAACCTGAGAATTAACAAAATTAAGATTCAAATTATTAACAATAAAAATGGTACATGTTTATTTACCAACCGTATTCCTCAAAGGACAACAAAGAAGTGTTTCATATACTACAATGAATATTAGTGTCATGTTTTAAGTACTCAGACTGACACAAAATATTACAAAATATTTTTCTTTTCCTTGGGGGGCATATGCTGTGTCTTCTACATTTTGTGACAAAATAGTATAAAAAAGTTACAATAGCTCATGTTTTTGTGTTTTTTGTTCTTACTTAAATTTCTTTTTCTACATTTAAAAATATTAACTTCCTAAATTTAAATTCTCAAATTCAAACTTTCAAATCTAAGCCATTAGGCAATATTCATTGCTTTCTCTGTGTTTTCACCACTACAACTATGGTAAGTTTTTTACGTAATGGTGTTTTGAACATGTCTATAAGTATTTAAACCCTACTAAATTCCATTGGCATATTCAGCTGAGATAAAACTTGGACCTGCAAAGTTATTCATTTTACACAGTTCTTGATGCTTTACCTATAATTGTTAAGATCACATAAAATTTGTATACTTTATTAATAGTAATATTTATTATCTTTTCAGTCATTTTTAATAATCACTTCTGGTTTTCACCAATGGTCAGAATCAGTTTAACATTTTTCAAAGTTGTTCAGATGACCAGGGCTGAATCTTTGACAATATGATGGGTGGGTTTGTTGAACCTTATTACCTATAGTCAAGCTAACCTTTAAAGAAAAATACATTTTTGCAGATTGCTTCTAATTGTCATTAGAAGCTAGAATATTTAGATTTTTTTCCTTGCGTAATTCAGTTAAATATTTTCTGAAAAATGCTTCACAGGTAGTACTGGATTAAATATTTGCTGGGTTTTTGCCAAAATTAAAAAGCATATCAGCCTGTTTATTAATTTATGTAATGAATGGCTCTTGCTACAGAGAAGATAACCTCTGTTTCTGTAGAGGAGTGATAGGTCACCAGAATACCTTATTATACACAAAGTACTTGTCCCAGTATTTTTGTAACTTCACTTTGTGCAAGCCTTTTCAGCTAGTCACTGCCTTAGACAGAGTTTTGCAATTAAGTTGGTATCTAGACATAGCAGAGCAACTATGAGGAACTGCAGCTGCTTCTTCTGCAAGATTTGTGGCCTCTGATGTTAGCAATAAGCTTGGTCAAAATATGTATATATAGTTTTTACTGCCTAACTTGTTTTTTGAAGACCTGAATTAGTTTACCTTTAGGGACACTAGTCTGTCTGTGTAGAGTTTTGGGTGACTTTGAGCCCTGAAAGTTAATTTTGAATCTTTGAAATGCAGCTGAAATGTTGGATATTTTTTCTTGTTAGAAATAAAAGATTTTTGACAGAAATAGAAAAACAATCAAAATGTCTGGAAGAATGACTGCGTTGCTAGGGAGTAAGATATCCTTCACTGCCCTGTCTGCAATTTTTGAACATGAGTATCCTTTTGCTTCACAAACTATGCCACATTGTGCTTACCATTTTACATACAGGAAGTGAGCTGTTATGCTGTGAATCAGGTAAGCTACCTTCTAATCATATATGTGGTTTACTGCATCCTTTAGGGTGTCGTTTAAATTCTTTTAGAAAGTTCAATAATAATTGTGACAGGTGCTAATAGGTCTTTTGAATAAAAATTTAGAGGGTATTTTATAAGAATAACATATTATTAAGAAGGCCTTGTAGGTGTAAGAGCCTACCTCCTAGCCTTTCTGCACTTTGGTGGGCAAAGGTGAAATCCAGTTCCAGATTCATCATCCACAAGAGCTCCTCAACTTTCAGTTCCGTTTCTCTTTGTATTCAGAGGCACCAGAGACATTAGCATGGCACAAACTTCACTTTCTTCTTTAAATGTAGTAGGTACAGACTCTTACATCAAAGGAGTACAAGCCACTTCATGATTGTTTTTTTAATTTTGGAGAATCTAAAATGTGAAATTGCAGAAAATATATTGGTGAACAAATTTTCAAGGATATCTTTTAGCCAGTTAATCCAGCTGTTACATATAGGAACATTCATTGTCCAGTGTTCTTTGGAATGACACATATGTTTGGAGGTAATGGTGTTGAATAAATCTTCACATTTTGCAGCTCAACGGATATATAGTATATGTCTCTTGAGATTTTCTTTCAAAGTATTTATATATTGGAGAAATAGTTGCAGTTCAGAAGACTGATAAAAGTTACCATAGAACCATGAGCTGAGAAGATGGTAGTGCTTGCATCCTAAAATCCCACTTGGGACCTTTTCCTCCAAACTTCCCTAAACTCAACTGACATTCCTGTAGCCTTTCCTCCTCTGAAAACAGAAGAGCCTTCTACTTTCCAAATGAATAAAAAATGCATCATTTGAAACATTTCACATTAACTGTTTCAAAAATATTTCTGTTCTTGATATGCGGTTCATACAGACTTGATGTTTCAGTCTACTAACTGGCCAGCACATAACAGGCTATATCTAACTGAAGGCAGGGGGTGAAGTACAAGGAGGAGAAGAGAAAAAGATGGCTGCAGTTCATCTTATACATCAAATCATTGTCTATTTGTGCATTTTTATTGTATAAAATGGATTAGAGGAACGTGACCACTTAATGGATCACGGAAGAGAAGACAGAGGGATAGAGGAACTATAGAGCTAAAGGGTTGTTCAAAAATATTATTAATGGATGCAACCTTTTAATTAAGACACATGATAGTAGGGAGAAATCTTTTAGGGCTCAGTGCTGCCTGAAAGAAGCAAGGAAGGGAAATATACCTTGTTGTATTCTTTGCATGTTCCATAAAAGAAATATCTGATCATCTCCAGTTTCTTTTTTCTAGAGTTACTAGCAAGAAATTTTGGCTAAGCTTGAAAGGAGTAAAAATGAAGAAGTTATTTGATAATTTAAAATCAGCACAAATGGCCTTCAGGTGCCATTTCTGCAGAAAGTTTAATTATGTAACCATAAATGCAGTACAACTTAAAAAGGGAAAGCAGCTGCTTGTCATCAGTGAAATGAGGTGAACATTTAAATCTTTATCAGGGTCGTTTTGTTCATCTTGAGTTGTAATGGTATAAGAATGACACTGGCGCAGCTAGTGCTGAAATTTCAGCTTGGAGAATTTCTTTGTTATGGATCATCCTACATGCTGAAATTTAGAAACTTGCTATTAAGTTAATTGTTCTACCTGAAAGATTAATTTCATACACTGCTAATGAAATCCTCAGGAAAGATAGGGAACCTCGGCCTTGTTAACATACAATAAAATACATTTCTACAAGAGCTACCAAAGCCTGAGAAACTAGCAAATAGGAGCAAACTTGGCATTATTCATTACTAGTCTAGACAGATGTATTTTGGGCAGGGGATAGCTTGTTCGACTAGCAGTCGCCCACCACTTTTTGCACCAGCAACTAGAGAACATCTTCAAAGTTATCCCTTTCCCCCTGTCCAAAAGACAAGAATTTCCAGTGACAGGACAGTTCAGTGGTTTGGGCATAAAAGATGTGATTTGCTGTCTCCTTTATGGAGAAGCTCTGCTTCTTCTCTGGAAAATTGGTATGTAATATTTCTCCCTTTCACATGAAATAAGCTCTCTTCGTATCGTGAAGTGTTATTGGCAATGGTTGCTATAAATACATATGCACATACACATTAGAGGTGTTTCACTCAAAGTAACGTGTCCTGATATTTTAGCGTAGGATTATCAAGCCAGAGACTTGAACTAAAAATTGCAGTACATAAACACTATACACAACTAGGAGAAATTCTAGGGTCATTGATTAGGGACTAAATGGGAGAATACTTGCACAGGTGCAGACTGGTCAAAGAGAACCAGAACATTTATAAAAGGGAAGCCGTGCTTGTCAAATGTTATTAACTTGTTTGAGGAGGTGACAATGGGAGCTGACAGGGGTGAAGCAACAAACATAATCTGCTTGGACATCAAGATGGCTTTTGATACTGGTACACTGAAGACCAGATACAGAGTTTGCAAGCATCTGATGATGAAGTGACTGATAGAATGTCTCTAAAATCCCTTAGACTGAATCTTGTTGACATATCACAGCAAAACATGCAAGAAGATGTACAAAAGCAATAGGTATAAATGAATTTCAAAGAGATCTTTAGCACTAAAAGGAGGAGGAACGAATCAGCCTGAGAAAGCAGAGGACAGGGAAAGCAGAGGGATGGGAGAGGAAAAGGCTGACCTCTTCATATATTTTCACAAAGAGAAGGTAATGAAGACTACTTCATTGAAGATCACTGTAGACAAGATGAGCATTCAGAATTCAGAGACACTTGATGACATATCTCTCTGTATTTGTCTATAACTGTGCTTAACCTTATTAAGAGTCCTGTGATGCACAAGAAGTGGTTGCTAGAGGGAATAGAGGATTTTAAGCACCTGCTGGAGGAAAGATGTCTGTAGGGAACAGGGCTCATAAGACTTTCTCTTGTTGAAAAGAGAAAATTGAGGGCATATACCTACCTAAATCAGATTTAATTGTTAAATACTAAGCAGTCCTGCGCACAGTACCTTCTTGTTATTTTTAATGGAGGAGAGAGGTCAAAGTGTAAAGGATTCTTGACTTCCACTTTCTGTACTGTTATTTCTCTGTATTTGTTTACATTCTATTTCGCATGAATATATTTGCCTTTCATTAACTTCTATTTGCTAAGGGAAGGAGCTACAATATTTAATAAATAGATACCAGCTATAATAGGTCTCAACTGCAATAAAAGTTACTGAAGCAATTTTTGAGATAGAATTTGTGGATGGAGTGGATCACTACATGGAAAACTTGAAGTAATAATCAAATAGCATACATTATATCTTTCCATGTCATCATGCATTCCTTATTTCCAGAATGCTGCATGAAGTTCTAATAAACTTTCACATAACCTGTGCATTGTGGGCATAGACAAAAATATTCTATTGTAAAGAATGGAAGCATAGTTTACTGGTGTGGAATATCCATAGGTTAAAAAAAAAAAAAAAGCCTCCAATGAGAAGACTTAAATGTAAATTGGTAAGCTATTTTTGTTTTTTGCTAGGGATTTTAGACTATTTTCCAAAATGTGTCGCAAAAATCCTCTCTTTAAAATTTAAAAATATAAAGACAAAGCTTTGCGAAATTTTCTTTAAGATGAATTGATGAAAACATTTTAGCTTAAAATGATGGTCTGATTGTTAACATTTAATTCAGTAAACAGAGGCAGAGGATACTGCTCAGCAGGCTGGTCCATAAGTAAGAAACTGCAGTACTCCTTGCAGTTGAAGAAACAGCAAAACCGATACAGAAAAGAGATGCAGTGGATTGAAAATGTGAAAACTCCATATATATTGTGAAGCTGAGTTGCACAATGACAGCGTAGTGATTTTCCAAGACAGTGCTGAGCTAATTTTTGATCTACTTTACTGAGGTGCCTAATCCGGACATCTAGTTCTAAGCAGCTCTCCAACTGCTCCACGTCTTGACTGAAAGGACTTACTTGCATTTACTTAATATACTTTTGTGTGTTGACAAGATGAAGAAAAAAACAAGTCTAAATACACAAAGAAATTTGCTTTTGTGAGTTTTCAGTTAGTAAAGAGAGAAAGTTATGCCCTGATGATGGCTTAAGTGGCCAAATTTACTAGAAAAGGAAGAATAGAGCTAGAAAATAAAGGGTGGTTCTTTTTCCTACTTTCCTAATGCTCTAAATATTCTCAAAATCTGTTCATATTTGGAATAGTTCCAATACGTTTTGGGGAAACAGCAAAATGTAAGTCCAAATTTCTTTTTTTTTCTGGTTTGGCCTATCTTTTTTGTGTTTTGGAGCATGTCATTTAAAGTAGTTCAAACATAATTACCATGCTGTATCAAATACAAAATAGGTACATTTTTGAGAAAGGAAGCTAATGCATACTGGAACAAAATAGGAAAACACAAAGGTAAACTTCTGAAATAGGGTATGTTGTGAATTTATACGTTTCTATGCATTCTTTTAACAAATTGAATATTTTAAAGCTAACTTTATCTTTGAATGCTGGCAAAAGACAAGGAAATTAATATTTTTGTAATATAGATGTCATCTTATATTTCATGCCTGATTCATTTGAAAATGTAGATTAATTTGCAAACAGTTTAGAGATGTGAACTATTGAATTGAGTCCTATAAGATTTAGGATTTGTCATCTTTTAAAGTTGACACCCAGTGAGAGCTTGTCAATTACAAAGAAGTGAAATGAAGTGAAAATAAGCCTCATCTTCATCTTCTTGTTATATGCTTGGTTGGTTATAGAAAGACACCATCTACAAGCTGAGAATAATTACTTGCAAAGTATTTTTCACTTTAAACCCAAATTATTTATTATTTTATCTCATTCCATTATGATGTAGCAGTTACTGTAATTTCCTAATCTCATAACCCAAATAGTCTGATGTGGCCTACCCTAAATGTAAGTTTGTTTGGGTCAAAAATGAAAAATGTTGTTTAGAGTAGGACTTTTTCTCAAATGTTACTAATCTTTTTGTGATAAGTTATTCAGAATTTTTTCACTTTATAAATCTACAACAGCATGTAATTTAGTAAATATTAAACTTTACGTATGATATAGGGAGAATGTCAACAATATAAAACTTTTAACTATATGCAAACATATCAAATAATATCAACCTTTTGTTTACAGATTTGATTTTTGCACAAATTCTTTTAAACCTCTCCATAGGCTGTAATCCGGCTGAATTTCTGGGGTGGGTTTCTTGGATGTAAGCGAGTTAGTATTGTTCCTCTTATCAGTTTTCTTCAGCAGCACGATTTTAATTCTGCAAGCATATAATTGGTGTCAATCTGCCTTTTTTGCATTAATCATTCCTGCACTTTGTAAACGTATGTACTAAATGCTATTTTATCGAAATCTTCTAGCTGTTTCTGAAAAAGTAGTCTTTAATTGCATT